AACGAACCCCCAGCCGTCCGGTCGCACACGACCGACGCAACGGAAGAACATCCCCAACAGGAGGGGGTTTGGGACGAGCGCCCCGCTGCGATCTCGGAGCGCTATTGGCGATTGTTCAACGATCCGGGTCTATCGCCACCCATCGCCAATCCCGGTGGCCCGTCACCCGTGCCACCCGAAGCCTTCTACGACCTCACGCACCAGGTCCGGGCTCTTACGGGAGTGATGCAGACCATCATCCCGCTAGTCTCTCCCCCGACGTCTTCACACTCAACCCTACCTCCACCACGGCAACGGCCCGCCGCTCAAAACCCCGCACCGCTCCCCGAGTCTCCCGCTTCGCCTCCGGACCAATCGACCCAACCCGGGAGCCGAGGAGCGGAGGAACCAGCGGCGCACCCGACGCCCGTGGCCCCACTTTCAGACTCGACGGAGGGCCTGTGGGCCCAGCTACGCCTCGTAGGCCGCCGGCTGGACGAGGTGCAGCATGAGGTTCGCCGGACCAGGGGAGACTCGGGGGCCGAGCGACACCAGGGGTCCCCCTTCACCCCCGAGATTCAAGAGCAAGCAATCCCGCCGCATTTTCGGCTCCCGTCATTGGATGCCTATGACGGTGCCACCGATCCGGCGGACCACGTAGCCGCTTTCCGCACCCAAATGGCGCTATACGGGACATCCGATGCCCTGATGTGCAGGGCGTTCCCGACAACCCTGCGGGGCCTAGCCCGAGCGTGGTACAGCAATCTGAAGACTGCGACCATCGCCTCTTTCGACCAATTGGCCAGGGACTTTGAGCTTAACTTCCTGGTTCATGCCAAACCGAAGCCGTCGGTGGCGATGCTCCTCGGGCTCAACCAGAGGGAGGATGAGCCCCTCTCTCACTTTGTGAACCGCTTCACCACACAAATCTGCGGGCTGTCTGACGCTCACCCTTCTTTGATGATGCAGGCATTCATGATGGGCCTGCGCCCTACCCGATTCTTTTGGTCTCTGGTGGAGCGACCCCCCACTTCGGTTCCCGAAATGTTGCAGCGTGCGAACCAGTACATCGCTGCTAAGGCATGGATGGTCGGGAGGCGCGACGAGCGCAAGAGGGTCAAGCCAGAGCAGTCCCAACAACAACAGCCCGCTACCTCCCGGCGTAGGGCCGGCGGCCTCAACGATGCGGCACCTAGGTCCCCTCCCCCGGGCCTGAACTCCTCTCGGACCGAAATATTTCTCCACATTAAGGAGAAAGGCCTTCTCAAAGACCCCTACCCGATGAGGAGCCCGCGCGAACTCACGGACCGCTCTAAATACTGCCGTTTCCACCGACAGCCTGGTCACGACACCGAGGAGTGTCGAGAATTAAAAAGGCAAATTGAGGAGCTCATCCGCCGAGGGCACCTCGGCTCATACCTCCGACCAGACAAGGAGCTCTCGCCACGCCCGGAAGGCCCCATCGATCGGCACATAGATGTCATAACCGGCGGACCAGCGTCCGGAGGGAGTTCCATGGCGGGCGGAAGGGCATACGCTAGGGCCTCCCGGGCTGAAGCCTCCAAACATGAAAAAGGCCCCGAAGTCACCTTCCCGACCGGGGGACCTGAACCAGCCAAACATGATGACGCGTTGGTAATATCAGCCAGAATCGCCAACGCGCAAGTGAGAAGGATCATGGTCGACACTGGAAGCTCGGCCGATATACTTTACTGGGACGTCTTCCAAAAGCTCGGTCTGGTAAAGGAGAACATGAAGCCGGTATGCTCAACACTCACGGGGTTCACCGGCGCCTCAATCTCGTCACTAGGGGTCATCACCCTGCCCCTAACCTTGGGAGTCTTCCCGAAGGCAAAAACGGTGATGACCTCCTTTCTGGTGGTCGACCTCCCCACGGCATACAACGCCATCCTCGAACGACCAACCCTCAACAAGACCCGAGTCGTCATCTCAACTTACTACCATACCATCAAGTTCCCGACCCACGATGGGGTCGGGGAAGTGGCGGGGAACTCCTGGGAGTCCAGGCGCTGCTACTTGACCGCTGTGTCACTAAACAAGAGAGCGAGGATCCAATCCCCGCTGGAAGACCCCCGGGAGGGAAAAAAACCGACCCCCCGCCCCGAGCCGAAGGAATCCACCATTGATTTGCCACTGATCGAAGGAAGGCCCGACCAAACAGTCAAAGTCGGGTCGGGACTGCCCGAACAAGAGCAACAGCAGCTCGTCGGCCTTCTGCGAGCCAACGTCGACATCTTCGCTTGGACGCCGACTGACCTAGTCGGAGTCCACCCGGATGTCGCGCTGCACCACTTGAACATCTCGTCCGACGCCCGCCCGGTAAAACAGAGACCCAGGCGGCAGGCCCCGGATCGGCAACTGGCCATCCGAGAAGAGGTAAAACGACTT